GGCGGGGGGCGTGAGGGGGGGAGGGGGGGGGAGGGGGAGGGGGCGTGAGGGGGCATGGGCTAAAGGCAGGGGAGGAAAGAAGAGGGGAGGGGACACCAAAAGGGCGTACCATTGGCGGGAGGGGAGGGGGGGGGGGGGGGCGAATCGACGAGAAAGACACCCTCCAACCCGGGCCAGGGCCGCCCCGGGCCCCCCCCCCCCCCCCTACCCGTCCCGCTGTCCGCCCCCCCCCCCCATCCTCCTCTCATCGCCTTTCCGAATATCGCGCACATGGTGTGTGCAATTTTGATAGATATCTCCTTCGTAACAACACAGAGCGGGACCCAGTGTGCCTGGCTGGCTGGCGGCCGGAGGAGGGACGGCCAGCAGAAGAGACGGACACAAGGGCAGGACAAGCCCTCAACATCTGCCCCTCACCTGTCATGAGCCCATGTCCGGCCCCGTCTGCCGCCGGTGCCGTCCCCCTGCTCTGTGCCTTTGTCGCCCGGCGCTGTTCCGCACAACTAGCAGCCCCAGCAGGCGCACGCGCACACATTCAGATTCCCATTCCGATAGAATACATTCCATTCGCGAAAGAGGGGCGAGTTAAGTGTTAATCCGACCGTCAAACCCAGATGCCACCGATCCAGCGTCTCGCGATCTCCCGGGCGGTGCTCCCAATGGCGGACGGGGGCACGGACGCGGGCGGGCGTGGCAGCAAGAAGCCGAGGCAGGGATGTGCGTGAGCCCCAGGGGGGGGGGGGGGGGGGGGGGGGGGGGGGGGGGGGGGGGGGGGGGGGGGGGGGGGGGGGGGGGGGGGGGGGGGGGGGGGGGGGGGGCGCGGGGAGGGAGCATTGCTCCACGATGACTCGGCACCTGGGCGCGGTCCGGCGATTGTTCCCTCATCCAACAGCAATATCCCATCACCGCAGCACCTCGCCGGCCCTCTCCGCGTTCCTTCTGCCCTCGCACGCACATGCCTTCCTCCGCACATCGGTAGCCAATCACACACACACACACACACACACACACGCACACGCAAACAATGAAAGTTCTCGTCGCCTCCGATCTCCGAGGGTGTACTCGACGGCTGGTCGCCCTGCAAAAGTATCTCCACACCGGCAAGGGAGCCGATGTCGACATCCTGGTCCTCAATGGGTCGCTCTTCCCCCCGACGGTGGAGGCCTGCCAGGCCTCGACGACCTTTCTCTTCCCGGGATCGCGCGACGCGGCCAACGCGTCCGGCAGCGATGCCGAGGACGCCGAGCAGTATGACCCGGCCGAGTGGGAGATGCTTGGCGATCCTGCCGGGGGCAGCTTCTTCATCCGACCGCGGCGATCGACCGACGCGGCATCCCCCGCGGCCTCTCCCTCGCCAATCTCCCCGGCCTCGGGTGCCGCCCTTCCCAAGCCCGAGTCCGACCGTCGGGTGGTGATTGATGCTGCGGCCGAGGCCGCCCTGGCCATGGCCGACATCATGTCGCTGAGCACGGCGCCGGCCAGCATCAGCGCCGCTGCCGGAGACGCCGATGATGCCGCTGACGCCGCTGACGCCGCTGACGCCGACCGCGGCGATGGCGCCAGCGACAGCAGCGACGACACCCGCGAGCCGGCGGACTCCCCCTCGACCGATGACTTTGCCCGGCAGCTGGCTGCATCCGGCCCGGGGGATGCCCTGTCGCCCGGTGGTCGCCTTGGCCGAGCCCAGCTCCTGTGGTTTGTGACGGTCTTCGCGCAACTGCTCCGCCGGTGGGCCCGGCTGTCGGTGCTCCTCTCGCCCGGGGGCTTCGGCGATCACCCGGCCGCGGTGCGTCTGGCCACGCGCTATACACATGCCCTGGTGTCCCTGGACCATGTTCACTGGCTCGGCCTCGGGGGATATGCCGAGCTGCTGCAAATGACCGGCCGCCGGACTCCGGTAGTTTGGCAGTCGGAGCGCCTGCTGTCTGTGCTGGAGGGCGACTGTGTGGCGGTGGGGCTGCCGTCCGGCGGCGGCGCGCGCGATGCCTGTGACACGGCCATCCAGCAGCACCTGGCCCGGGGGACTCTGTTTGCCCGGCCGCCGGGGCTCGGCGAGGAGGACGGCCCTGGCCCCGCCGGGCCTGGCGACGATGCCGGGCCTCGGGCCGGGTCTGGCCGCCCAGGCAAGGGGTCCACCAAGCGTGGTGCCCGGCGTGGCCGGTCCCCCTCGCCGGAGCCCGAGCCGGAGCCCGCGCCGGGAGGTCGTGGTGGGCGGTCCGCTGGCAAGGCGGGCAAGGCGGGCAAGGCCGCCACCAAGCGGGGCGGCCGCCGCGGGCGATCTCCCTCACCGGAGCCCAGTCCCCCGGGCCCGGGGGCCAGTGCCCCGAGCACCTCCGCGAACTCCAAGTCCCCGCTGGCGGTCAGCAGGGACCCGGAGCAGCAGCGGGATCTGCTGGACCTGGCTTATCGCCGGCAGGCGTACTTCGCCGAGCGCGTCGGGGCCCCGGTTTCGGGGCTGGTCCGGGCCTGGCGGGCCACGCACCAGCACCGGGACTGGGTATTTGGCCGGGGGAAGGCCGGGCGTTCGCGTGGCAAGGCTCCAACCGTGACCGAGCGCCTGGTCATCGTGGCATACCCTGGTCGATTGCCTGGGGCCCCGGTCTCGGGGGAGGCCCAGGCGTCGGGCAGTCAGCTCACCTTCGCCGACTGGGAGCGGCCGGATTTGCGGCAGGGCGTGGCCGCCGGTGGCGCCGAGCCGGCGGGCCCTTGCGATCGGTATCTCGGTGCGGCGGAGACCCTGGCCGATGCCGGGAGCCCGGCCAGCCGGGTGGAGGTGGCGTATGCCGGTGCCAAGCAGGCCCTCTCGGCGGCCATGGCCGCCGGATCGCCGGCCTTCGAGCGGACGACCGTCACCGGGGGGGCCACTTGCCCCCGGCCGGGGGATACCCTGCCGGCGGAGTTCCTCCGGACCCTGGCCATTGCCCCGCCGGATGTCGGTCCAGGGCAGCAGCTGTGGGTCTTGTCCGGAGGGGCCTCGCCCGGCCGGCAGGTGGCCGCGGCCATTCGGAACTTCCGACCCCTTGCCACTGTCATAGGTGGCAGCCTGCCAGCGGCGGGAGGGTGCCCGGGGGAAGTGGCCGATGCTCCGGCCGGGTCCGCGGGCCAGCCCCCCCCGGGGGCGCCTCATTTTGTGCCCCCGCCAGTCCTGGCCAAGTGGGAGGACGATGCGTCGGGCTCCGACACCGAGGATGCCCTCCTCGCCGGGGACTTCACCGCACTTTGGATCAACTGTCGGAATCCCCAGTCGGCGCGACCGGTCAAGATTGATCTTGCCCTGGCGGCTGAGTATCTGGCCCCCGGCCCGGTGGCCCAGATGGACGCCGGGCTTGGTGACAGCGAGTCCGGCGGTGAGGACCATTCCCCGGAGTAGTGTGTGCCCCTTCCGGTCGCTGGATGCAACAGCCCGGGACGTCCCTCGGGGGGTGCATCCCCCCGGTGATCGTAATGGACAGATGCCTCTTTCGGGTGATGGACAATGCGGGGTGACAGGTCTACATGTGCGCCGGCGGTCATATGGGAGGGGCCGCAGACACCTTTTGAGGGATTGAGAAAACTAGGGGTCTATTGTATGGGGGAGAGGAGGGAGGGGAGGGGGGGGGGAGGACTTCCCTAAGAGGAGAGCGTTGGAGAGCCATGGCCAAGCATGGAGAAGGTGAGGGAGGAGAGAGAGAGAGATAGAGAGGGAGAGGGAGGAGAAGGAAACCAAGGACAAGTGTGCCCCTTTTGGCCGCCTGTGGAAAATGCGGGCCAGAGGGATCGGTGTGGGTGTGGGCGTGCCGCCGAGAAGAGGAAGAGGGGGCGCAAGGAGGGGGGCACAAGGAGGGAGCAGGGTCTGACCAACGGAGATGCCGAAGCGCATGCCGGGGCGCATACGCGTGTGCGTGCGTGCGCGCGCGTGCACACACACGCGCTGATCAGCGACAACCCACGCGTGCGCCCTTCCCCCGCCCATCAGTAGGTGAGGCTGTTTTTGGGCATTTCACTCGAGGGCAGCCGACGGAACTGGCAATCCACCCAGACGGGGTCCTGGGCGGGTGTGAGGTGTCACCGCGGACGGCGAGGGGCCGGTATGGGGGGGGGGAGGACATGGAGGGCATGTGTGGAGGAGCGGGTGGGGGACCCATGTTAGCAAGCCCATCATGTATATGAAAGGCCAGGGACCCTGCATCCAGAAGGGAGGGGGAGCGAGCACGCCACCAACCTGATAGGGATACAGAGAGAGAGGGAGAGAGAGGGACGGAGAGAGGGAGAAAAAAAAGGGGAAAAGGCCGGAACGCACATATTCAAAGGGTCCGACAATGGCATTGGCCATCACATGGAACCAAGCGAAGCGGTGGCTGTCACCGCCCAGCGGCGACCGCGAGGCTGCCTTGCCTGGACCACCGGCCCCGGCGGCGGCCGGGGAGGAGTCCGGCGCCGCGGGGCGACCGGCCGGGTGGTGCTCCCCCGCGGCCTGGGGAGAGGATCCGGCATGGTCAGGGCCCCCCCCGCCCGGGGGGGATTCCCCCATGCTCGGGGCCGCCCGCGGTCCGAGCCGCAACCGCAGGAAGAAGTCCGAGCTGCGCAGGTGCCGGTGCAGCAGGCTGGTCAAGTGGTGCGAGAGCTTGCCATCATCATCGGCGTGCGTGCGCGACTGCAGGAACCCCGGCGCCAGGATGGTGTCCGAGAGGTTGGCCGCCCCCAGGGGGATCTCCAGCACTCGGGCCACCTGCAGGGCATCGCCCTCGCACTGGGCATCGAAGCTGGCATACTTCAGCGAGAATTCCACATGCTTCTCGGCGCCGGCGCCGGCGCCAGCGTCCGAGGCAGTCGAGGGAGTGCCGGAGCCAGTCCCGGTGATGCCCCGGCCCCCGGCACCCAGCACATCGAAGCCCGGACTCGAGGCGTCGGACAGATCCGACGCCAGCAGGGCCCCGGGGGTGCCGGCGGCCGGGGCACCGGCCGGCGTGTCTGGGTCCCCGCTTCCGGTGCCCGGGCTACCAACCGGGCCGCCGGCACCGCTCTCCGGTGCCCCGGAATCCTCCTTGCTCTGGGACTGGGGAGACTGGAAGATGCCGGAGGAGGAGTGGCTCAAAGCCCGGAGCGTGGCAACGGCCTCGGCCTCGGGCGAGTCGTCCTCAAGGTGGTGGTCGTGGTGGTGATGGTGGTGGTCGTGGTGGACGTGGTGCTGGGCATGATGATGCTCCTGCTGCTGCTGCTGCCGCTGGTGGTGGTGGTGGCGCTGCTGCTGTTGCTGCTGCTGTTGCTGCTGCTGCCGGGGATGCTGGCCGTGGTCATGCTGACCATGGTGCGCGTGGCCATGCGTCCCATGGTCCGGCCCCTCGTGCGCATGGTGATGGGGAGTGTGTGACCCGGTGGCGGGGGTCGGCATGGCGGGCGAGTGAGTGGCAGGGACCGTGGTCGGCCCGGCGGTGGAGACCGGCGTCATGGCCATGGCCATCTGCCGAGTGGACACAGCGGTCGATGTGGAGGCCGCCGCCTGTGCGGCATCATGGACGCCCCGCGAGACACCGACCGAACCCATGGCGTCGGCGCTGGCGACAGAGGCGGGAATGGTGGTCCCGCTGGTAGTGGCGGTGGTGGTGGTGGTGGCGGCGGCGGCGGCCATGGTGGCAGGAAGGCCAGCCGGCGTGGAGGCTTGGCTGGCCGGGGTCGGAGCGCCCCAGGTACTGGTGGCCGCGGTGGGAGCCACCGATGCCGATGGAGCCATCTTGAGGAAGGCCGACAGGGCAGCCGTCGGCTGGGTGTCAGGGACCGAGCGCAAGCGCGCCGCCGTCGCCCTGGACGCCGCCGCCGCCGCCGCCGCCGCCGCCGCCGCCGCCGCCGCCGGAGACATGGGCAGGCTATTGGGCGAGGCAGCCGCGAGCAGTGAGCCGCTGTCGGGCGCGGTCGGGCTCAAAAGGAAGGCCACATCGCTGCTGGCCGCGGAGGAAGGCGGTGGCGAAAGGAGGTCCTGCGCGCTGGAGCCGGAGGAGCCTGCCAGGGCAGCGGCGGAGGCGGTTGCGGAGGGCAGAGAAGCCGAGGAGCCACTCCGAGCACCCTGCCCCAGCACCAGGTACCCGGCATTGGCCAGGCCGCCGATGGAGGGCGATGCAGACGGGGCGGCAGGCTGCGGCTGGGCCGCCGTCGCTGGCCCCGTGGTCGCCGTCGCCGCCGCCGCCGCCGCCGCCACCGCCGCCGCCGCCGCCGCCGCCGGAACCAGGGCAGCCAACAGGGCCGAATCGGCCCCGGCAGCGCGTGGCGAATCCGCCTGCAAAGCGGCCTGATACTTGCCGAGGGATGCCTGGAGGCCATCCACGCCGCTGGCCGTCGGGTTTTGCAGGAAATCCGAGAGAGTTTGCCGCAGGGAGGCTGGCGAAAGAAGCGCCGCGCGGAGCAGGAGCCGGAGGACGGAAGGGGTGGGGGAGGGGGGGGGGGAGCGAGATGGCAGGGAAAGCACACACAGTCAGCCGGAGGGCACGCCGGATGACGGTGAGGGCACGCCGGCGGACGCACCGGTTGACGTGGGCGGCAGCGACAGGGGGAAGGACGACTGCCAGGAGAAAAGCTGGGGAGCCTGCTGCTGGGGGGTGAAGTTGCCGCCGGGGCTGGATGTGGGTCCACCAGCCGGGCCGGCCGCGGTGGTCGCCATGATGGCGGCATGCGGCGAGTCCACATGCGACTCGCTCGGGGTCTGTGGCGCCGAGGGGGACCCGACGGCCAGCAGGGCGGCCGCGGCCGAAGCCGCCACCGCAGCCGGCGATTCCCCGGGCCCGGGAAGCGGCGAAGCCAGCGGCGAAGACATGGGCAGCGCTGTCAAGTGGGGAAAGCCCCCGGTCGCCGGGGAGGAGCCCGACAACCGGAGAATGGCCGTGGCATCCGGCGACGAGTCGTTGTCGATCCCGAGGCCGGTGGCCGAGCGCTGGGCCGGCGCAATGAACGGGTCGCCCCCGGGTCCGGACTGGGACCGGGTCGCGGGGAGGGAAGGCGCGCGGCTGGCGGGGGTGGCGGTGACAGTGGCGGTGGTGGGGGCTGCCGCGGGGGCATTTGCGACCGCGTCGGCCGGGGCCCAGGCGTGCGCCCGGCGCAGGGCCAAATCCACGCTGAAGCACTTGCCGCCCGGGGTGGGCACCGCCGTGCCACAGATGTCCATCCAGCGGAAGTCCGAATTGGAGGAGTCCGCCCGGTCGGACAGGAACCGGAAGCGGGCCATGCCACGCGAGGCCGACCGATCGGCCATGTTCAGCAGGTGCACCATGATGGGCAGGTCCTCGGGGTGAACGAGAGTCGACAGAGGATGGCCGATCCAGGAGTCCGGCACATGCCCGGGGCCGAGGATGACCGCCGCGGCCTCCAGACTGGAGTAGGCGATGATCGAGGTGTTGGCGATGACCACGCGCAGGGTCAGGCACTGGGCGGTTGTCGCGGGCGCCGGGGCCGTCGCCATGGCCGGCGGGGCGGGAGCGTCCTCAATGCGCTGGCGTTTGGCCAGGGGTGTGGGCCAGGTAGCCGGCGAGGCGGGCGAGTCCAGGGCCGGCTCCAGGAGCTGGCTCAAGGGGGAGGTCGAGGCGGCCGGAGAGGCGGTGGTAGCCACGGCGGTGGTGATGCCGGGATTGGGCAGCATGTTTGCCGGCAGGATGGTCGGTCGGGAGGCCGAGGCCGTCGGCATGGGCTGCGCCGTGACAGGGGGCATGTTCCTGAAAAGCCGCGCACGGGGTGAGTATGACCATTTGCGAGGAGGGCCGACGGCCAGGCGAGAGAAACAGGGCATCGGGGACGTACGGGATGATGGGGATGGCTGGTTGATGCGCGGGAAGGAAGGGAATATCGCGTTGGCAAACGGCGGGGGGCGTGAGGGGGGGAGGGGGGGGGAGGGTGAGGGGGCGTGAGGGGGCATGGGCTAAAGGCAGGGGAGGAAAGAAGAGGGGAGGGGACACCAAAAGGGCGTACCATTGGCGAGAGGGGAGGGGATAGGGGCCGGGGCAGGGGCCGGGACCGGGGAGGGCACCGGCTGCGAAGTCTGGCCTCGGGAAGTAAACAAGTTTTGCAGGAGCTCCAGAAGCTGCGGAGCATTTTCGTTACTGGCCAGCCGACGGATTTGCTCGAAAAGGAGCTGCTCCTGCGGGGCGCCCAGGGCGGGAGCCGAAGTGGGCGACGCGGTGACAGAAGCCGCTGTCGACATGGGAGCCGGTGTCGGCGCGGAGGCCGGCGCCATGCGCAGTGCGATCATCGGACTGGAGACCTGCTGCATCTGCTGCGCCTGTTGCTGTTGCTGCTGCTGCTGCATCTGTTGCATTTGCTGCATCTGCTGCATCTGCTGCATCTGTTGCATCTGCTGCATTTGCTGCTGCTGCTGTTGCTGCTGTTGCTGCTGTTGCTGCTGTTGCTGCTGCTGCTGCTGTTGCTGCTGTTGCTGCTGCTGCTGCTGTTGCTGCTGTTGCTGCTGCTGCTGCTGGTGCTGCTGTTGCTGCTGCTGCTGCTGTTGCTGCTGTTGCTGTTGCCAGAGGAGGGTGGCCATAGATGTGGCCGGGAGAAGGGACTCGGTGGGGGCACCAAGATCCGGGGGCGAGGTCACCCGCGGGAAGGCAGCTTGGGCGCCGGCCAAGGCGAACTGCGCATGTTGGGAGGCATGCTGCCAGGCGCCGGAGCCAAGCTGACTGGACGACAGGTAGCCCTCGCTGGGGGTGCCATGCGGAAGTCCCGCATAGACCGATGCGGGGGAGGAGGCCATCTGTTGCTGGTACTGGACAGGAGTGCGAGCCTGAGTCGAATGGGCCGGCACATGGTGAGGGGGAACCCGGCGACCGATGCCCGCACTGGCGGCGGTAGCTGCCTCGGCGGCAGTCAGGGGTGCGCCGGCGGCGGCAACTGGTGCCGAGCCCGCTGGCGGCATGGTACCACTGGTGGTAGTGGCGGTGGCGGGAGCGGCGACGGCAACGGCGCCGGCCGTATTCTCGGTTGTGCCGTCGACCGGATGCCGGGCCTTCCGAAGGCGTCCCTTCTTCCAACCGCGCTTGAGCTGCTCTCCGTCGACGCAGGTATCAGCGATGTTCTTCTTAACGCAGCGCCTGTGGCGTGGCAATCAGAGCAGCAGCAGCAGCGGCGGCGGCGGCGGCGGCGGCGGCGGCGGCGGCGGCGACGACGACGATGACGGTGGGGGACACGGAGGCAGGAAGGCCAAGGCAAACTAGGTGAGCGAGGCCCCGGACCAAGCACGCACAGGAGAGAGAGAGAGAGAGAGAGAGAGGGAGGGAGGGAGAGAGAGAGAAAGCGATGGCGCACCCGCAGGGACGGTGGTGGTCACAGCCAACGTGCTTCGTCTGGCAGTTGGAACAGGCGCGAGTGACGCGACGCAGGGCCGGCGTCTTGCGGGCGACGCCGGTCGAGCGGCCGGTGCCCGCCGGCGAGTCGGTGCCGGCCACGCCGGAGGACGGCGTGAACGGCGAGTTGCCAGGGCCCGGAGGCTCGAGGGGGAGAATCAGGGCCGCCATCGCAGATGGTGGGCCCGGGGCGGGTGGGGGTGGGGGTGGTGCGGCCATCGGCCAGTGAGACGGTAGGGCGGCGGAGGGCGGTGTCGAGGAGTTCAGGGCCGAGGCGGGACCTGTCTCCATGCTGGTTTTCGGGCCAGGCTCGCCAAATGAAAGTGAGGAGGGCGCGGG